ACAGCTACCAAGGCCTCCACCAGACTGAGTCCAGTACAGCTAGATGGTGCCCCACTACCACCACTGACTTTTCTGACCAGGATCACAATAGAGGGCCCTGGACAGAGCTGGAAAAGGATGTAGAACAGAATTCTAACTCACAAAAAAAAAAAAAAAAAACTGGTCTGACAGACTGGAGTAACCCCGAGAGTATGGCCCCGGACACCCTTTTAGCTCAGTGATGAAGTCACTTCTGAGGTTCACCTGTCAGCCAAAGATTAGACAGGCCCATAAAAACAAAACAAGACTAAATGGGCACACCAGCCCAGGGGCAATGACAAGAAGGCAGGAGGTAACAGGAAAGATGGTAATAGGGAACCCAAGGTCGAGAAGAAGAGAGTGTTGACGTATCGTGGGGTTGGCAACCAATGTCACAAAACAATAGGTGTACTAATTGTTTAATGAGAAACTAGTTTGTTCTGTAAACCTTCATCTAAAGTACAATAAAAAAGATTTTACAGCCTTGGAAACCCTATGGGGCAGTTCCACTCTGTACTGTAGGGTCACTATGAATGAGAATCAACTTGAAGGCAATGGGTTTAACATCTAAGTCATAGGGTACCATGCCAGATTGTGGTACCTGGTACAGTGGCCTTGGAGTCCCTTCTGTTGAAAGTAATATTAAGCCAATAGTAAAATAAAAATTGATTAATATACGATTTTTAAACTGGGACAATATTTCTGACTAAATTCCAAAAAAGAACAACCCCTCACAGATTTTTCTACCCCAGCTTATCACTAGTAATTATACATTGCCACGGCAACAGGGCCAGAATAGTATTTACATAATAACTTGTGGACATGCAGGATTCCATAACAAATAAAACATAGCTTCTAGTCTGACTTTTGGAATTGCTATTGTCAAAACTGAATACACAGATAATTCTTTAAAAGCACAATGCCCAAGGTAAATGTTTTTATTAATTAAGCTTAGACTATTGTTTCACTTAAAGATGGCTTTCAGGAGACAAGTTTCAGTACAAGGTTTAAGGTTCAAAGATTATCTTAGGGTAATAGTTTCCTCAGGGAAATAGTTCAGGTAGGTCATTTAAACCTCCATAGCTCCAGAGTCTAGATTTCACAGAAATTTAAAATTCTGTCAACATTTTCAACCATTTTTTTCCCAGTATATCCAAACTTCATTTGCTGATGGACTGTCTTGCCTTGGCAATGTTTGAGGTTTACTTTCCATCACCTTAACCTTTATTATGTTTCAGTTAGAACATCTCTTTCCAGTTTATCTCTGCTTTTGCTAAGGCAGCAGAGGGAATATAAGATTCTCATTCTTTCATCTACTTGTATTTAAAATGGTACTTTTTAGTAAATTAAGCTTTAGAGAACTATCTCAAAATAGATTGGTCTCTATAGAGATGAAATATACAATATTATCTCGGTATTTTTTAAAAATTATAAGCTGTAACAGTAATGTATTATCACTGTGGGGGGAAAAATCACATGATTCTAAGGTTTTCTTTCAAAAGCTCTTCTCTGCAATTCCCAAGAATGATATTGGTTGAAATTTTATCTTAAGGTCTAAGAGTGGACTCTAAATATGCACCTTGTAAAATATTAAAGGAATTAAACTTCAATCTTGTTTTTTTCTTTTTGTTCAGTGGCCCTCAGATTCTCAAGAACTTGATTCTAAGGAGCTTTCGGCTGGCTCTCAATTTGTAGGTCTCATGGCAGTTCTCATAGCATGTTTTTCAAGTGGCTTTGCTGGAGTTTACTTTGAGAAAATCTTAAAAGAAACAAAACAATCAGTGTGGATAAGAAACATTCAGCTTGGTAAGTTTTAAGTGTTTTAAAAAGTGATTATATTGTTATATTTAAAGATTTCTATACATCTTTAAATAAATAAGCCTCACAGAAAATATTCTGTTGATCCAAATATCTGGCAATTTTTTTGCCTTTAAAAATTTATTTTAAGTGAATGTCTTTATTGAAGAATATAGAATTTTAGGCCTATGGTATAAGGGTGATGACTGTTTCTGTCCTCAACATTTGGAGCCTTAGTAACTTTATCGTTGGTTGCTACTTCTTTCTCAGAAGATGTTGCAAATTACTTACATATTGTATCCACAGGAAATGGGATTAAGATACTTAGAGGAAGTTTGAAATAATGTATCTTCGGCTTCTGTTTTAAAATTGTAATAGGCCTTTTTATTTCAAAATGTTTTGTTTTGGCTCTTAAAAAAATCCCTGAGGCATTTTCCTAATTGAAGGTAAAAACTTGTTGCCATGGAGTTCATTCAAAGTCACGGCATTTGTAGGCCAGCATTTGCGACACACCCAGGGTCCACCAACTGAAGGTAAATAGCTTAAAAGGATTGAGTAAAGTGTTCAAACTATTTATAGTATTGTAACTCCTTTGGATTGAATTGTGTCCCCCAAAAATGTGTGTCAGCTTGGCTAGGCCATGATTCCCAGTATTGTGTGCTTGTCCACCATTTTGTGATCTGATGTGATTATTCTATGTGTTGTAAATCCTAATCTCTATGATGTTAATGAGACAGGATGAGAGGCAGTTATGCTAATGAGGCAGGACTCACTGTATAGGATTATGTTGTCTTTTGAGTCAATCTCTTTTGAGCTATAAAAGAGAGAATCAAGCAGAAAAGAGAGGGATCTCATTATCATGAAGCAAGAAGAGCCAGGAGTGGAGCATGTCCTTTGGACCCAGGGTCTCTGCACTGATATGCTCCTAGATCAAAGGAAGATTGATGATAAGGACCTTCCCCCAGAACCGATAGACAGAAAAAGCCATCCCCTGGAGCTGGTGCCATGAATTTGGACTTCTAGCCTCCTAAACTGGAAGAGAATAAATTTGTCTTTGTTAAAGCTATCCAACTTGTGGTATTTCTGTTATAGCAGCACTAGATAACTAAGACAATAACGTTTAACTCTTCATACAAAGATTCCAACATTTAATATAATTCCTGGCATATGTTCATCCTGGAAGGTGCTGCAAATCAGCACTATCTATTTTAACTTCTGCTCTTGTGACGACGGGGCTCATCTTTGAAACCAATTGTTTTTCTGTCTGTACCAATATCATGTCTCTTTATCAGCAGTCATACAAGCCTCTTTAGGCCCTACACAGTGAATTGTCTATACTCTTTTTTAAAAAAAAAATACTGAGTTTTCAATCAAGGTTTACTCTGCAGTCTATGTTTCTATTCAACAATTTCTACACAAGTTGTTCAGTGACATTGGTTACATTCTTCACAATGGGTGAACATTCTCATTATTTCCATTCTGGTTGTTCTGTTTCCATTAATCTATTTTCCCTGCCCCCTTACAGTCTCATCTTTGTTTTAAAGTCAACAGACCATTTGGTCTCATATAGGTGATTTTTTTAAAGGAGCACAGTACATATGGGTGATATTCATTGTTTTTTGAGCCAATTTGTTATTTAGCTACAAGGTGACCCCAGGGGTTAGTTTCAGTTCAAGGGTTGAAGAGTATCTCAGGGCAATAGTCTCGGGGAGTCCTCCAGTCTCAACCAGTCCAGTAGATCTGTTTTTTTTTTGTTTTTTTTTTTTTGTTTGTTTGTTTTAGGAATTTGAGGTTCTGTTGCACATTTTTCTCTCATTCTGTCAGGGTCTATCTATTGTGGTCCTGACTAGAATGGTCAATAGTGGTACCAGGGACTGAGTTCTTCTGGTCTCAGTGTAGGTGAGGCCGTGGTTCACGTAGATTATTTGTTTGTAGACTGGTTTCTTCTTTGAGTCTTTGGTTTTCTTCTTTCTCTTTTGTTCCAAAAATGTAGGGACCGATAGTTGTATCTTAGATGGCTGCTCGCAATCTTTTTTTTTCCCAAGCATTATCTATTTTCATTCTACTAGCAGTTTTCTCAAAGAGCAGAACCTCCTGAGGTCTTCAGATTGGGAAAGAATCAATTTTTTTTTTTTTTTTTTTTTTTTTGAGGTGAGCAGCAAGAGTATTTTATTGTATATCGGTATACAAGAGACAGAGGGGAATGAGCTCCTCCAAAATCTGCCTCCCCCTGTGGAGGCTGATCAGAGGATTTTATCAGGACAGAGTCAGGGTCCAGAGAATCTATGGAATGTTAGTTCCCCTTTGAGGTGGGCACAACTACCTCGTTCCAGACATGTTGACCTTCTGCTGGTATTCTTGAAGATCCTCTGACACCGTCCTGGTTTCAATCACAAGATGGTTCTTTTGTTCAGTTGTCTTGTTCTATCTCCCAAAGAGGAACTTAGGTTAATTGTTTTTTTTTTTAATTGTACTTTAGATGAAGGTTTACAGAACAAATAGTTTCTCATTAAACAGTTAGTACACATGTTGTTTTATGACAATGGTTAACAACCCCACGACATGTCAACACTGTCCCTTCTCAGCCTTGGGTTCCCTATTACCAGCTTTCCTGTCCCCTCCTGCTTTCTAGTCCTTGTCCTTGGACTGTTGTGCCCCATTAGTCTTGTTGTGTTTTATGGGGCTGTCTAATCTTTGGCTGAACGGTGAACCTCGGGAGTGACTTCTTTACTGAGCTAAAAGCATATCCGGGGGCTATACTCTTGGGGTTCCTCCATTCTCTGTCAAGCCTGTAAGTCTGGTCTTTTTTTGTGAGTTAGAATTTTGTTCTACATTTTTCTCCAGCTCTGTCCGGGACCCTCTGTTGTGATCCCAGTCAGAGCAGTCAGTGGTGGTAGTCAGGCACCATCTAGGTGTACTGAACTCAGTCTGGTGGAGGCTGTGGTAGTTGTGGTCCATTAGTCCTTTGGTCTAATCTTTCCCTTGTATCTTGTTCTCTTCATTCTCCCTTGCTGCCACAGGGGTGAGACCAGTGGAGTATTAAGATGGCTGCTCACAGGCTTTTAAGACCCCAGATGCTACTCACCAAGGTAGAATGTAGAACATTTTCTTTATAAACTGTGTTATGCCAGTTGAGCATATTCCCCGAGACTATGGCCCCCACAACTCTCCGCCCAGCAATTCAGTTCCTCAGGGAGTTTGGATGTGTCTGTGGAGCTTCCATATGGAAAGAATCAATTTTTGAAACAGACTGAAGTCAACCTTTTTCAAATAACCAAGTTGTGGTATTGCATATTCAGAAACATTCTCCAAATAGCCAACTGAATTTTCAAGTGTCCTTACAAATAGTGAAAAATATTTTTAATTTTTTATCTACTCCCAGGCTTCAAAAAGAATAATTAATTTAACTAGCATTATAGAGAAGAGATAAAAATTGTCAAAAACTCAAAAAATTATGATATAAAAAATATAACAAACACTTATTTTCTTAATAATAGAAGAATCAACTGAAAGAAATGGCTATAAGAATGGTGAAATTCATCATGAGTTCACAGAAAAGCTGTTCTTAATGATCATATTTAGCATTAATTTTTAAAAACAGAAAATGTTAAAGATGTTTTACTATGAAATATAATACAAAACCGGTTGCTGTAGAGTCAATTCCTACTCATGGTGACCCTATGTGTGTCAGAATAGGCTTGTGCTCCATAGGGTTTTCAATTGCTGATTTTTCAGAAGTAGATCTCCAGGCCTTTTCTTCTCAGGTGCCTCTGAGTGGACTCGAACCTCTAACCTTTCAGTTAGCAGCCAAGCTTGTTAACTGTTTGCACCACCCAGGGATATAATACACATACCAAAGGGAATAAAACAAATGTACAACTTTAACAAGCTTTTAAAGCGAATGCTTGTACATGCGCAAGCTTTTAAGACCCTAGACACTACTCATCAAACTAGGATGTAGAACATAACTTTATGAACTGTATTATGCCAATTGATCGAGATGCCCAATGAGACTATTGTCCTAATCCTTCAAACCCAGAAATCCAGTCCTGCAAGTTATTTGATTATGTCTAAGTATCCCTAACTGTGTCCTCTGTGTGCTTTATTATATATGTACATACAGTCACAGAGATGTATATACACATGCATACACCTATATATACATACCTATACACAAATGCCTACATACTACTTACACATATACCTGCACATATTTTTTTTATTGTTTTTTCTGTTTCAAAATTATATATGCCATAGCAATTACCTTTTTTATTATGTACTTTTTAGTGATATCGTTCATCTTCGTCAAGCTGTGTACACTTTACCCTCATTCGATGTTATCGTTCTCATCACCAGAGAATAGTCTGTACTCTTAACGGCTTATATTTTAAGTCAAATCATCCCAAACAAACCTTCCAAAGCATCTTTCCAGCTATTTTCAAGTAATATTATAACAAACAGAATGAATATTTTATCACATAGGATTTATCTGTTTCTTTACAAAATTTGTAGAAATGTATCAAGTATTTTTTTTTAAGAACATGCAAAAGAAATACATTTAAAATTTTTTTTTTTGTTGTGGTGAAATATATATAAGGAGCCCTGGTGGCACAATGATTAAGCACTCAGCTATTAACCAAAAGGTTGGCAATTCAAACTTACCTAGCAACTCTGTGGGAGAAATACCTGGCAGTCAGCTCCCATAAATATTAAAGCCTAGAAAACCCTATGGGGCAGTTTTACTCTGTCACATGGGGTTGCTATGAGTCAAAAACTGACTCAATGGCACTTGACAGCAACATATATAATAAAACATTTGCCATTTCACCCATTTTTGTGTGTACAATTAAGTGAGTGACATTAATTATATTCACCATGTTGTGCCACCATCACCATTATCTGGTTCCAAGTTTTTCATCACCCTTAACAGATTCAGGAAATATTTTTCCTTTCTATTTTTTTTTAATTGTTGTAAAATTATTATCTTAAGTTTCCTAGTACTGAGGTAACAGAAATACCACAAGTGGGTGGCGTTAAGGAACAGAAATTTATTTTCACACAGATGAAGAGGCTTGAAGTCCCAATTCAGAGCATGGCTCTGGAGGGAAGTTGTTCTTCCTTGTTTATTTCAGCTTCCTAATGTTGCATGCTGTCAAGTCGATTCTGACTCATAGCGACCTACAGGACAGAGTAGAACTGCCCCATAGGGTTTCCTAGGCTGTCATCTTTACGGGATTACACAGCAGATTGCCATGTCTTTCCTCCTGCGAAGCTGCTTCAAGTAGCTGCCAATCCTTGGGATTCCTGCGCTTGTAGGTTCTTCTGCCTCTGTCATCATCAGATAGCGTCTGTCTTCCTCTTTTGTACTCACTTACTTCTGTGTCTAATCTGCTCTTTTTATAACTAAAACTAAAAAAACCAAGTCCATTGCCGTCGAGTCAATTCCAACTCATAGCGACCCTATAGGACAGAGTAGAACTGCCCGATGGGGTTTCCACGGAGCAGCTGGCGAATTCAGACTGCCAGCCTTTTGATTAGCAGCCAAGCCCTTACCCACTGTGCCACCAGGGCTCCTTTTATAACTCAGAAGTAATTAGGTTTAGGACACACCCTATACTGATGTGGCCTCATTAACATAACAAAGAAAACTCTATTCCCAGATGGGATTGCTTCCACAGGTATAGGGATTAGGATTCCAACACAAATTTGGGGGGGACATAATTCAATCCATAACAAGTATATATAACATCATTTGTGAATTCAGCATCTTTCATGTGAACAATTTAGTGACACCAATTATATTATGTTGTGCAGCCATCACTGATACCTTTGCCAGATTTTCTGTCATCATAATCAGAAACTCAGTGCCTCCTAAGCAATGTCTCACCTTCTTCCCTCCCTCCTGCCCCTCGTAAACACTAATAAACTTTGATTTCTCTAGATGGCAAGTTCAGCAGACTTCAAAAGCATTATGCAATTTTATCTTGAATTCCAGGAAGTGTGTGCCTTTAGCATAGTGGTGAAAAATGCTTGGTTTTATAGACAGACTGTGCAAATTCTTATTTCATCAGTTACCACTGTGTGACCTTAAGGAAGTTCTCTAACCTTTTTCTGCTTTACTTTTCTCATCTATAAAAGGTACTTAATTATAGTACCTACCTCATAGGTTGCTATGAGGATTAAATGAGGTAATACCTGTAAAGTGCTTAGAATAAAGTGCCTTCAGGAGGAAAAGTATATAGTAAGCACTAATAAACATCAGCTATTTATATAAAGGTTGTGTAGGATTTTAGTAATCTTAGAAAATTAATAGATACTCAGGTTTGACATGCATAAACCTGTTCAGTTTATTGTAAGTTAGTCATGGCAAGGCATGCAGGTAAGACCTCATAACATTCATTTAGAACCAGAAAATCAGAATTAACAATTCAATGTTAATTCAGTGGTTAGAGTCCAAATCTTTAGACTTCAGGTTTTTACCTTTAACAGGAGGTCTCAGGAGGAAAGATTAACCAGGACTTGAACTCAGCAGATGTCCCTTGTAGCTAGGGTTCAAGGTTGACGGCGGCAGACAGAATCTCGGTTCTATCTCTGCTTTCTCTCAGTGACTGAGCAGAAATTTAGCATTTATATGTGAATTTGTCCCCTTGGCTCCACACGACAAGGGCCAGTATAATGTCAAAGAGTAGTAGTGTCATGTCTTCTCCAGGGTTAGAGAGTAGCCAAATGATGCATCTTCTCTTCAAGGTTAGAAATCAGGCGAGTTGTTTAGATTTGTTTCAGTGCTAGTTTACAAAAATTAATTAACTATGCTCTGTATTTTTTAACACAGCACGTCAGGTCAAAGTGAACTTAAAGGTTTCTTACGTTCTTTACTTACCTCACATGCTTCTATTCTATGTCTAAGTTCTGAAATTTTCTAAATAACCTTCTTATGACTTACAGGTTACTAATGACTTATAGTTAATGTTAGAGAGTCTCACAAAGGTATACCTATTTCTGTTTCTAAGTTCATCTTATGAGTGCTTATACATATGTATTTTGAAAGCATAATAGTGACTTACGCCTTATAGGATTTGAGATCATTGTAGAGACATACAGAACAATAAATATGCAAATATCAGAAAAGAAAGGAATATTCAAGGTTGTGTGATTTGCCCAAAATTTTCTTGAATTGTAACATAAAAATGGAATATTAATGATTCAATAGTGCTTAATGGATTTCTTATTCTTTAGTTTGGAGTTATGTCATCATTAGTTGCTGTCAAGTTGGCCCCGACTCATAGCAACCTTTTGTATAACAGAATGAAATGTTGCCCGGTCCTGTGCCATCTTGATCATTGGTATGTTTGAGTGCATTGTTGTGGCTATTGTGTCAAACCATCTCATTGAACAGATAAATAAAAAATACAAGAACAGAAATTAAAACAATGTGGTGACATTTTTTTCAAACATCAAATTATCAAAGATTAGCAAATTGATAATATCCAGTGTTACCTTGGATGAAGAAACAGGAACTCTATCACATGTGGTTGGTAGCAGTACTTAGATTGATATAACCTTATTGAATCTCAATTTCTGAATGCCTGCCAAACTTTTAAATACATATAGGCTTTGATGTGAGAATTCTACATTTGGATAAGATTATATTCTATAGATATACTTACAGAAAGCACAAAGATGCCAAAGGTTATTCATTTTACCATTGTTTACAATGGTAAAAAATAGGAAACAACCATGTAGAGAACCAGTTAAATAAATTATCAGCTTGGTTAAATCATGGACTCCAGAGCCACACTGTTGTTGTTTTTAGTTGCTCTTGAGTCGATTCCGACTCCACGTGTGGACTCCCATTTGTGTAGATTAGAACTGCTCCATAGGGTTTTCAAGGCTGTGATCTTTTAAAAGATCACCAGGGCAGTCTTCCAGTGTACCCCTGGGTGGGTTCAAACTGCCAGCCTTTTGGCTAGGGCTAGTACTCGAGTGCTTAACTGTTTGTGCCACCCAAGGAACACTGCCTAGGTTCAAATCCTGAGTCCATCACTGTCTCAGTTACCTAGTGCTGCTATAACAGAAATACCACAAATGAATGGCTTTAACAAACAAATTTATTTTCTTACAGTTCAGCAGGCTAGAAGTCCGAATTCAGGGCACCAGCTCTAGGGAGAGGCTTTCTCTCTCTGTCGGCTCTGAGGGAAGGTCCTCTGTCTTTTTTCAGTTTCTATTCCTTGGCAATCATGTGGCATGGCCTCTATCTTCCCCCATCTTTCCTTGCTTGCTTAGTTGCTTGCTCAGTCTGCTCTTTTATATCTCAAAAGATATTTATACCAATACTGCCTCATTAACATAACAAAGAAAACCCATTCCCAAATGGGATTAAAACCACAGGTATAAAACCAAACCAAACCCAATGCCATCGAGTTGATTCTGACTCATAGCAGACTCTATAGGTATAGGGGTTAGGACTTACAACACATATTTTTTGGTAGCACAATTCAACCCATAACAATCACTTACTAGCAGTATGAGTTTGGGCAAGTTATTTAACTTCTCAGTTTCTTCAACTATAAAATGGGCATAAAAGTACCTACCTCATAGAGATGTGTGACTTAACATATGTAAAGCACTTAGAAAAATTCCTAACACGTGGTGTTATATATGTATTTGATTCTATTATCATCCACACAATAGAAAATTATGCAACTGTTGGAAAAAATGCAGTCAATCTGTACATACTGACATATATGCCTGTACCCTTCTGTACTGTTTTTTTTTTTTAATATAATTTTAAAAAACATACTGTCAGGAGTGTTTATTTCTGTAATTTTGAATTATGGTGGCATTATTTTCATGTTTGAAATTAGACATGGTAAAGCAATAGTGCTGGAATAAATGGAATTTTAGAAAGATCATTTCACATCCTTTTCAGTTCCTTTCCATTGTGGAATACTTTGATTAGTTATGACTTTATAAAGAAAACTGCTTCACTCTGCACTCTTTGGCTGTGTATCTTACCAAGACTACCCATAAAAAGTGACCCCTGTGGCATCTATTTCTCTGTTGATAGCCTAGGAGTGCTTCTGGAAGTCAGTTAAATCCAGTAATTATGTGACAGGCTCTGTTGTAGAGGCGAGTGATTCAGCAGTGACCAAGACAGTCTGCTCTCACTGAGCTGCTTTCCCTAACAGTGAGACTTCAGTAGGGATAGATTCTGGCACTGCCTATGGCCGACTATTTCTTAGCCCTGATTTTTTGGATACTACTCATTGTACTTTCAGAATTTAATGAGGAAAAATGCTATACTACATGCCTGAGTTTTATGTCTGCATGTATGAATACATGAAATCTAGACCTAGCAGTGGGAAGACACAAGCTACAACAAAATATGCCAAAAATGAGCTGTTTGCAAAGATTTGAATGAGACAGCCATGTAACCATGTAATTTATATATTGTATTACTTTAGTGCTCCAAAATTGGTAATCTCTGCTCTCTTTTATATTCTTATATCTTTTGCAGTCATAAGTATAATTTTTTGTTAAGTTTATATAAATATCCAAATAAAAATTAAGTAGTCAAATTTTATCATAAAGGAAAAGATAAAATATAAAAGTATTTGGAATATCAGTGGAAAAATATCTTTTCAGACAAACTAAGTGACATATGGTGTAAATTTTATATATATTTTTTAGGTTTCTTTGGGAGTATATTTGGATTAATGGGTGTATACATTTATGATGGTGAGTTGGTATCAAAGAACGGATTTTTTCAGGGATATAACCGACTGACCTGGATAGTTGTTGTTCTTCAGGTAAAGCATTTAAAGTCTTATATTTAATGCTAATAAAATTCATTTTAATATAGAAAATTGAAGTAGCTACTGCTAGACTGATGTAAGGTAAAAATGCCCCTCCTGCTGTATTGTTAATTATATGTAGTTTATTCAGAGAAGTTAAAATAGAACTGGTTTTAATGCCCAAATGAAAACTTATTTTGAAAAGGGATTGTGAATGAAGGGGTTGTTAAATTTAACATAATGAAAATAGTTAACAAAATAAAACAGTTGAAGTTAAAGGCAAATATAACTTGATTTTTCTGCAGCTCTTTATCATTCTACAGGAAGTCTGTGGTCAGCCAGTGAAGGCTTAAGGAGGAGATCTAGAAATTTAAATCTATAGCAGTTCAAAGCCTCATATTGTGGTTATATACTGGAATATTCCTGTCAAATTACTTCAGTTTATATATAACTTGAAATTGTCCAGGGGTTGACTGATGGAAAGTTCCAAGTAACTAATTTCCTCTTAAAAAAATACTTGTTGAGTACTCTGGAGGATACAACAATGAAGGTACAAGTCACTGTCCTCATAGAGCCTTCTTCCATTGGAGAGGTGTTTGCAGCTATAAGGAGCAAGGTCCTGGATGGTGGATGAAGATGGCAAAGGATAGTTGTCCTTGGAATGCTGGAAGGATACCTCTATATTTAAGATAGGAGAGAGTGATGTTAATTAGCAAATGTGTTACATACATATGTTTATTCACAACAAAAATTTAAAAAGATAGACAAGGATAAGTGAAAATATAGAGAAACATTTAAGTGGATATAGGGTAAGTAAGGAGAATTTATGTATGAAGGCTTTTATCCTAGCAAAGTAAGAGGGTAAGCCATCTGTTAAGAGTAAGAGGCTAAAAGTTTGGGCAAAATAAAAAGATTAGGTGGAGCTGGTTTGAGGGATTAAATAGGGAATAAGTCGATGACTGACAGTGTTGTCAAGAAGTGTTGGGACCTGGAACCTAAACATTAAGTTGTAGTGCTCTTGATTGGCATAATTCATTACTTCCTCTAGTAAATTTCCATCCTAGGAAGAGGTGCGGTTGAAAGTTGGTAAAGTGAGTAACCCAGATTTGGGAGCTGGTAAGTAGGGTTTGGCAGAAAAGTAGTAAAACTTCATTATTTAAGTAGCCACAATTTGGATTTTGAGAGGCATTTGTTACTGAATTCTTTCTACATTCTTAAAGAAAGGGTATTATTAAATGTGCTTTCAGAAGAGTAATCTGACAACAATTAGAGGTAGATTAGAATGGGGGAAAAGCCGTGCTACGAGGCTACTGAAAGGCTAGTAAGATGAAGTCACTTTACTTTTTACTCAAAAGTAAAAATACTTCACTATTCAGAATGACTGGTCTTCCCACATTTGTCCAAACAAGTGATATGTCATCACAAAATTGAAGGAGGATAAATGTTTTCTTCATGTTATGATCAAACTCTGTTATAACAACTGCTGATTGCTGTAGTGTTTATCGGATACCTTTTGAAATAGAGAGCTATTGAACAAAACCTAGAAGTCTTTTGGTTATAAGAGATGTTTAATATTGTTAAAATAAAAATCATATTAAGCCAATAATAGAAACTGATTGAAGTTTATTTAATGTATGATTTGCAAATCGGGGTAACATTTTGACTAAGGAGTCAAAAATGTTCTGAAGATGAGAAAACCTCCAGAGACTCTTATACCCCCTCTCATCAACATTGCCAAGAAAAAAGGCCAGGGAACAGTGTTTACATAACTAACATCTTCCCCTAAAACACAGCTTCCAGTCAGACCCTGGAGTTCCTATTTCTCGAAGCTACTACACATAGATAATTCTTCAGAAGAGCCCAGTGTCCAAGGCAAAATGGTCTCCACTAAGCTGCTTACCAGGCTATTGTTGGACTTAAAGGTGGCTTTAGGGAACTAGTTTCTTCAAGGCTTAAGTTTAAAAAGGACACCTAAGGGCACATGGACTGGATGGGTCACCTTGACTCCATGAACCCCAGAAACCTGGATTCCAGGAGAATTAAAATGGTTTCTCAATATAAATCACTTACTATAATGGGATTAAATTTATAGGACAAAAGCCTAAAATGCCATTAAGTAATGAAATTGTTTTGAAAAGCAGCTTAATATATATTCATTTTAAAAAATAATCTTTTAAAACTTTTGCAGGCACTTGGAGGCCTTGTAATAGCTGCTGTTATTAAGTATGCAGATAATATTTTAAAAGGATTTGCAACGTCTTTGTCCATAATATTATCAACACTGATATCCTACTTTTGGTTACAAGATTTTGTGCCAACCAGGTAAAATATTCTTTACTATTTTAAGTCTCTCAAAGTATATAGAAAAATTAAAATTCTAAATAAGTTGATGTGATAAATTTTGCTCTATTAGAACTTTTGAAGACTCACTGAAATTATAGATCCATTTAACTATCTTTTAAAAAGTTTCAAACTAAATGTATGAAAGGAAATCTCCCACTGGGAAGTTTTGTAAACAAATTTAGTTGGCCAGACTTTTCTCCAATAGATCTGAATTTTTCACCTCAAAGTAAAAATTTGTGAAATAAATTTAAGGGCCAGGGCTTAGTTTCTTTATATGACTCATCAACATTTTTAAATGCACAGCTAAAGCCAGGAGAGTAGATGACATTCTTGAAAAAGATTATTTATATAGAGAAGGTGGCTTATTAAAGAACTCATAATTAGGTGGTGGCAAGAAGAAGAGCTATTTGGAAAGGAATCACAAAAGGAGTGATGAGTAAGGTAGGAGAGACCCAGTGTCATGGATATTAAGGGAGGAGACAGCACCAGGAAGAATTGAGTGTAATGAATACGTTATAGATGCTATTGAAAGTTTTTGTTTTACTGTTATTAATGTATAATACCAGAGTAATTAGATTATATTTTACTGGCTTTCCCCCAACTTCACTCTCCTCATCTTCCCAACCTCTAAAAGTTGGAGTCTCCCAAGGATATGCCCTTGGACCTCTTTTAAATGCACTCACTCCCTTAGTGGTAATCTCATGGTTTTAAATACCATCTATATGCTAACTCTCAAATTTAAATCTGAATTTCGGGCTTGAGTACCTAACTGCCTGTTTGACATTTTCACTCAAATGTCTAGTAGAGAACTCATTTTCTCTCCTGTCAGTGTTTCTTTTCTTAGTAAATGGCAGCACCTCCATTATTCCAGTTAGTCAGGCCAAAATTCTCTTTGACTTAGTCATGAATACAGTTCATTCACAGAAACCCAAGAAAAGGCAAAGCCTGTAATATGGACATAGAATAGTTTATAAGAATTTAAAATGTGTGGGAATTCCCTGTTTTCTGAGTAAAAGAAGAAGCAAACTCATCAGCTTCTTTTTGTCTTTCTGTCATACATCATTCTAATCCAGTAGCAAATCCTATCAGTTCTTTCTAATATCTCCAGAATCTGTTCATCTCTCATAACCTCTACTGCTACCCCTGGTCCAGGCCACCTTCATTTCTTATCTAGGTTAAGGAAATAGTTTCTAGACTTGTCTCCTTGACTCCTTTTTGTGCCCTGCGCCCCTAATCTTCTCTATTTCAGCAACCAGAATGATCCTTTTCAATCTAAATCAGATCGTTTTATCACTACTCTGCTCAGAAGCCCTCTAATTGCTTCCTATCTCACTGAGAAGTTATCATCCTTATAATGGCCTGTTTGATATTGCCCTCAGTTTCCTTTCTGTCCTCATCTGATATTAACTTTCCTCTTTTCCTTTTTCTTTTTTTGTTCCTGTAAAAATGGCTTGGGGGAGGTATCTGACCTCCTCTAACCTCACAAGGGGGAAGGAGAACCAAGATCAACAGCCCAAGGCTGATTCCTATGAGGCGAGGGTCAGACATGCCTCCTCTCAGCCATCTTTACCAACTCTGACACCAGCTGTCCCTCCCACAGCACTCTCTACTTCTTTGCTGGGTTCAGTAATTCACTGCAGTGGCCACAGAGAGATCACAGACAATACTCACAATTATGGGGTTTATTATAAGGGAAGTAACAGTTACAGTTTAGGCTCAAGAACACTCAGGATACACTTCTTTCCTCAGGACAGCCTCTTCGCAGCAGTGCTCACAGGCAAACCTTCCTGGCCCTCAGTTTCAGCCCAAAGGCACTCAGCTTTCTCTATGGGCCAGAAAGCCCGCCACACTGTCTCCTGCTGCTGGGTCTCTGCTTCTGTGTCTCTCCTTCCTTGGTGGTGGTGGGCTCCTCCTCTCTGCTCTGGAATTGGCTTTCTTTTAAGGCAAAACTGACCTGTCCCCTTGGTACCACAATTACCCTATCACACAGTCATGTGGGTGGGAGTTACAAAATCATGGCTAGGAAAAAAACAAAAAACCCAAACCCATTACCATCGAGTCTGACTCATAGTGACCCTATAGGACAGAGCAGAACTGCCCCATAGGGTTTCCAGGGAGTGCCTGGTGGATTTGAACTGCTGGCCTTTTGGTTACCAGCTGTAGCGCTTAACCACTACACCACCAGGGTTTCCCATGGCTAGAAAGGCCACACACAAAAGTAATTAATCACATTGCAGTTCCTTAAACATGGCACCACATCTGGGCTTTGACTTGCCCTTCCCTCTTTCAAGAACGTATTCAACAAGTACGTATTCACATGGCACACTCCTTCACTTCCTCAGGTTTTGGCTCAAATGTTACTTTATCAAGATACCACCCTAAATAAAAGAACAGCCCCCTCCATTCCAGTATTATCTTTCCTCCTTTCTTAAGAAGACTTATCTAATAACAGAAGCAGGGACAGGGCATGGCCCATAATAGGTATTCAGTATGTTTGTTGAATCAATATTCAGAACTTTAACATTTTCTTAGTTAGAATCAATTTGACCACTGTGCCACCAGGGCTCCTGTACTCTACATATTAGCTCAGTAACATGGATTTACATACATTTACACGTCAGTAAGATTTACATCTTATTGATATACTACTACTCTTTTACCCTTCTGCTGATTTACTTGTTCACTTACTTGTTTATTTGCTGTACAATTCATAGATTGGCTGAATTATAGATTGGCTGGTGTGGGAGATGAGGTTGGAGAGGCCACAGCATGAAGGGTTTTTAATATTATAGTAAGGATTAGTGATCTTTTTCCTTTAGAGAACAAATGTTTTTTTAAAGAAGGAGAGTGAACTTCTAATATAAACTTTAAAACCAAAACTAACTCATGTCCATAAAACAGCACTTTGAAAAATATACATGTTAAAAGTTAATAAGACTGGTATTCCAGTTTAAGCCCAGTATAAGTCACAGCTCCAGTTTAAGTTCATTTCCAGTTTATAGTAAGGTATACTATATCTGGAGTCCCTGGGTGACACAAACAGTTAAGCAATCAGCTCCTAATGAAAAGGTTGGCAGTTCAAGTCACCCAGAGGCACCTTGGGAGAAAAGCTTGGCAATCTACTTCTGAACGATGACAGCCGCTGAGAACTCTATGGAGTGCACTTCTATTCTGAAACACATGTGGTCGTTGACTCGATGGCAGCTGGGTTTTTTTTTTTATACTATGTCTATGGCTAGATAAATAAAGAGGAAACCAACAACTCTACATTTAATCTAATTTCCTTTTCTGAAGCATTCTATGAAAATCATTCTTGAGGTTTGTTTATTATTACTGTGGATTTTAAATTGAACTTAAACTTGGTTGTGACGTAAAAAAATGTAATTTTCCTTTTGTATTTTAAATTACTTTAAAAAATTGAGATCTTTTATTATTCAATGTATTGCAGGCTAAAGGCATATTAAGGTGAAATGCAGCGTTTAAAACATCTTTGCTTTGGGAGGCAATATAGTGCAGTGTGGATGAGCGTATAGGCTGTAGAGTCAGACATACCTGGATTTGATTCCTGTCTTCCACCTAAAGCTGTGGGACTTTAGGCAAGTTACTTAAACTCTCTAAACCTCAGTTTCCTCATATGTAAAAATGGAGGATAATACTACTACCTTCCTCATAGGGTTGTTGTGAGAGCTAAATGAGATAATGCATATAAAGCCCTTAGCCAAATAGCTGGAATGTAGTAAGTACTCAATATTTGTTAGCCATATCACTGGAACAGTTTTCAACATTACAGTTGTTTTTATAGTAACTCAATAGAAGGAACTTGTTTTGCTTTTAATCTGATTTCTCTTTTTCTTTCATTTTATTTAGCGTCTTTTTCCTTGGAGCCATCCTTGTAATAACAGCTACTTTCCTATATGGTTATGATCCCAAACTCGCAGGAAATCCTACTAAAGCATAGCTACATACTGTCTTTAACTAGTTTTTCAAGATGGTGCAGTAGGAATTTCGACATTAATCTTGCACAGAGGACTTCCACAAATTCTGTAAAGATATCATCATGCTGAATCTGATCATATTATACATATGGTTTGAAAATATAAAAGTTTAAAGATAAAATATGTGTATATGTAACAGAATGCCTATTGTATCTAGAAATCAAAACTTGAAAGTATTTCCAGGGATTAGAATAATTATTGGAAGAAACTTGAAATCTGTGTTTAAAAAGATTTTACCTTTTTGATTGCTGCAGAAAAGCCCTATGCACTCTTTGCAAGAGCACACAACAAATATCAGATATCAATTTTTATAAATCAGATCTATTTAATCTTATTGAATGTTTTTATCTTACTCTTTCTGTACAGATGTATCAAATCACATGGAATATTAAACGTTTGAAAATTATAATTATTATTACCTACAAAGCTGTGAAGAAATAGAAGTATGATTTGAAAAAACATTTTCACATATCTGAGATTTTTATATTTATACAAAGGATTACTTAAAGGATTGCTAAATGTTATTTGTTAAACTACATAAAAATTGATGAAGTAACATACTGTGTCTGACTTGTCAGAGAATAAAATTCTTTTTCAAATTTGATGTAGAGCAGTTCACACATCTATTTCTCCATATACATTTTGAGACCTTCTGATGCTTCAAAACTGCTGAAAGCAATCCAGATGCTCCTGTGCTAGGTAGTAGCCAGTGCCTTTTATACTAATGGAGTTTTGCTGTTAATCTTCTAATTGCATTTCTTTTCTGTAAATCAGATAAATCCTTAATATTACTTCATCATGTGTATTAATTTCCATTAAAGTTTTAAGATGTAATTTAAAGGGATTAAATACTCATTTGGTAATTTTAAGATAAAATAATTATTGTGTTGTATAATATCTCTATTTGGAGAATTTTGAACTATCAAGCATATACTATACACAACTAGGAAGTTTTTAAATGACTATTTTACTGATTGATCTGTAAAAAACTTTTTTTTTTTAAATCAACAACTATTAGCAACAACATCCGAAAAAATAGTATAGATGTCAGTGACTTGAGACCAAATGATGTTTCTTGGAGACATTCCATATTGCCATGATATTATGTTATTTGAAATGGCACTATAACTTTCAATTCAAGGCTCCTTAGAGTAACTTTTTAGGTCTCCTGTAAACCCACAGGAGCCCTGGTGGCAGAGTGGTTAAGAGCTTGGCTGATAACCAGAAAAGGTCGGCAGTTCAAATCCACCAGCTGCTACTTTGAAACCCTATGGTGTCGTTGTACTCTGTCCTACAGGGTCCCTGTTGAGTCGAAATCAACTTGACGGCAATGAGTTTCGTTTAGTATAAGCTCACTGCTACCAAGAGTGCCCTTATTGATGACTGAGAGAGGCAACGAAATCTGAGTTCCCTTTCTGTGGCCACACGAGAGCTGCTGGGAGGGAGCCATCACTTTGCTTTAAAATAGTGGTTTCTTTTAAGCATTTTGATTAACACTGGAGTTAAGGTTGTAAATTACATGAGTTATGTAATAAGTTGGCTCAAGGGAGAGAAAATTCATCAGAAATGGTAAGATGAGTTGGTGGGCAAAAAATGCTTTCTAAAATTGGAATATGGGTTTAATATAGTTATTGACTATAGGTAGAATTACCTATTGAGAATAAGAATTATTTTTTTTCCTTCATACTGTGTATATGTTTTAAAGTCTCCTGTTCTAATAGATATTAGAACTGTTAAAAAAAAAAATAAGACTTTTTATATAGTTCTAATGGATTTTGTTAAACAGAACTTGACTCAAAAATCTTATACATTAAAAACTGGGGTACTCTTGGCTAATTAGGATTGACTTTGTTACCTTGTTGATGAGAATTTAGTCTCTACAGGATACAGGCCTGATCTATTCCATCCAGAGTTTTCAATGTTTAAAGTTACAAAGTATTTAAATTAATTTTCTGGTAATTCCCTATTGGCACAGAGCAAACTTTCTGGATACTTTCTGGACTCAATGGTTTTCAGTGCCCACCGTCTAGAGTATTTGTTTAAAAAGTTTACCACATTTAAAGCATGGTGTTTTTAGACTGCAACAGCTTTCAGACTTTTATTACCCAATGCTAAATGAAATGTTCATCCTACAAATACACAGAATTAAGACTAATGTAAAGATTCTCGTTCAGCCACATTGAAGTACTGGTTTGGTGCTTATGTATTAATTCACTGTGCATTCATAATTGTTAATTCAGATTTAGTCTTTGCTTATTTTAATGGTTCAAAAAATGATACAAGTAAATTATTGAATATTAGACATGTTAGTTATAGTGATAAATAATACATTTTCAGGTGTCCAAAATAAAATTTTCAAGATTCCCACCAAAAGTTTATAAAAATGTAATAAAAAGTTGTGGAAAAGGATAAAACATTCTAAATTATATTTTCAAAGCAAACTTTTATTAGACAGGCTAATTTATATTTTGCTTTTCTAGGAGATTTGAAAATGTATTAAGAGATTGGGCTGTGTAGTTCATAATTTTTAATTCGTAAAGAACTATATTTGGGGAGGTGGGCCTATGTCCTACATCATGTCACAGATACAGTTGATGCCATTTTCTTGTGTGTGTGGTGTATGTTTTAATGACTATTCAACTTCCAAAGGCCTTATTGTATCAATCTTTGATAATGATGACTCCTTGACAATTTAAATTCCTGTACTTTTTGGAAGTTTATTTGTTATCCCTCAGCTACTTTGTTCATTGTGAAAATGTGCTAACTCATGGGAAAAGAGTGCCAGTGATAATCCTATTAAAAATTAAAAATATGGTATTTGGAAAAAAAGTTTGAAATAACGATAAAATATTTTGACAGTAATATCAATTCTTTAATAAAGTGCATTTAGAGAAGTCAGACTACTTTTATGGTAGAAAATGTAGCTTATAGATGCAAAACTTAAATGCTTATGTAAATGTATTTTGAATGTCATAGAATTTCACAGAAGGAAACTTAGTTTGGTATTTAAACTAGATTGTGAGGAGATAGAATCTGGCAGGAAATTTTAATTGACTGTGTTCGGTATACTTAGTGAATACTGACTGTTGTTAAGAATTGATACTTTTCCTACATATCACATTATTCAACTTTTAAAATGTCATTATGTAGTCATTTAACTTTTTTTTTATTTTAAAAACAGGGTTTAGTATTACTCATTTTATTTACACTTTCATTGTGATACTATTTAATTACATATGGATGTATGCTTTACATAAAGGTTTATAAAAGTTATTTGCTACACTGACAAATCATCTGGAGAATCTCCAGGATATGTATCATATTTTAAATAGTAGGACCAAAGAAGAAACACTTTTATCAAAATCTGGTCCTGTGTGCCTTGCTTTGCTAGAAGCTTTTACTAAAATTCACAACTTGGGGCACATAGGCAAAATTTTAAGAATAACTGTAATTCAGTTTGTTGTTATTTCAACGTTTGCTCTTTAAATCCATTATCTAACAGAAAATTAAAATAGATATACAAGCATTAGTGAACTGCTTATTTAAAGAAAGTGGCACCATTGCTCCGTCTAGCTTTTTGAAACTTTAACAATTGTATACAGCTGTTATTTTGTTCTTTCATTTCTTGTTATAAATATATAATTTATGGTGATTTCTAAAAATTTTTATAATGTTTTGGATCTTGAATTTGTACGTGTATTTCATTTGTTTAGAAAGATTCTTTTGGGTTTCAGAATGTGATTTATGTTTTTAAATTTTTTATGGATGTAATTGAAAGGAATGTATAAACTTGCCTTTCGTTAAATGACTTTTTAATTGATAAATTTCTCGTCATTTTTTGGTATCCAGTTATTATCTATTTAATACACATATTGAAATAGATTATTTTTATAATTAACTCTATGTAGATTTCTTCCTGTATTTCCTTGTTTCCCTATTAGCGTGTGTCTGATCTAACTCATGAATTCATCTACTCTCCTTATATATATATAAAAAAATGAATCACTGATCTTTTCCCTGCCTCTTTAGTTACCTTTACCACATGTAATCATGCTTTTTTCTAGCCTCTGCTCTGGCATGGAAATTGAGCGTCATTTAAACTAGTTAGAATTTCTCTATTGGTATGATGATAACAGTCTAAAAAGTTTTCTTTTTTAAATAAACTGTCTCTTTGCTAGCTTCAGGTTCCCTGGGTGGTGCAAATGGTTAAACGCTGTACTACTGACTGGAAGGTTGGCAGCTGGAAGCCACTCGTAGGCACCTCGGAATACAGGCCTGGTGATCTGCTTCCAAAAGGTCACAGCCTTGAAAACCCTCTGGAGCAGTTCTACTCTGCACACATGGGGTCGCCATGAGTTGGAATCTACTTGACGGCAACTAAAAACAACAAGCTTTAAGGTTAAGTAATTAGAATAATTTGGTATATGTTTTCTTTATAATTCAAATATACTTGCTTCTATTGTGACTATAAAATTCAATGCATAGAGAGCAAATGTGATAAACAATATGAAGGATTTTATTCCCATCTCTGCTACAGAAGTATCATCATACAAAATGGTTTGTTTTAAAAGATCACTAAAATAATCTCTACGTTTTTAAAAATGTATAATTTTCTTTGGTTACTTCCCATGAAAAGCACTAACTGAAAATTTTAATGTAATTTTTTTGTATTACCGTATTTTTTACACAGATAACGTGCACCTTCTGTGTTTGTTTGCTGGCTGCACCCTCCCTCTGTGAGGCACCCTTACAAGCACCACCATACCAATCTTCTTGCACATGTTGTTAAAAAAAGATGAACGCAGTGCACTTATGAAAATACCTCACTGGAGGAGGGCCCAGCTGGCAGACAAACACAGAAGGCACATGTTGTTTGCATAAAATATGGTAAATTACTTTTGTTAAAATATATCACAATCCTAGAATCCCAGTGCTGTGCAAATACATTGTACAATCTAAATTGTATAGATACTACCACATTTCAACAGAGTCAAAGATAGTGACTAGCATTAGTTACTGTTCTTAAAAAAAAAAAAAAAATTCTTTCATAGTAGGACTTAGATAGTTCAGAAAAGAAAATAAGACCAAAAAACCCAAACCCATTGACATCAAGTTGATTCCCACTCATAGCGACCCTATAGGACAGAGCAGAACTTCCCCATGGGGTTTCCAAGGAGCAACTGGTGGATTCGAACTGCTGACCTTTCTTGGTGAGCAGCTGAGCTCTTGACCACTGTGCCACCAGGGCTCTGTCTTCTAAAACAACTATAAAAAATTATATGCATAATGCTCTAAATTTCCATTCACATTATCTGTCTCCATTTATCTCATAGTCCAGGTTTATGTTTTGAATATTTTGTTTTTACAATGTTGTTATTAGCTGCCATCAAGTCAGCTCTCACTTATGGTGACCTTATGTACAACAGAACAAAATGTTGCCTGGTCCTGTGTCATCCCCACAATTGCCAGCATGTTTGAGTCCGTCTTTGTGACTATAGGGCCAATCCATCTCACTGAAGGTCTCCCACACACTTGTTAGCCCTCTACTTCACCAAACATGATGTCTTCTTTTAGTAATTGATCTGCCTACTGATGACGAGTGCAAAGCAAGCAAGTCAGATAATGTTCTGTTGTGATCAGTAAGGTTTTCATTGGCTAGTTTTTGGAAGTAGATGGCCAAGCCTATCTTCCTGGTCTCTGTTAGTCTGGAAGCTCTGCTGAAACCTGTCCACCATGGGTGACACTGCTGGTATTTGAAATTCTCGTGGCATAAGTTCCAGCATCATAGCAACACCCAAGCCACCACAGTACAACAAATTGATGTACAGGTGGTGGTTTTATAATGCTAATGCCATTTAGATGACCTCAATCCTGCCATGACAGATTGTGCCATCTTAGCTTTGAAAAACTCATGGGTGATCTCCAGGAGTTCACAAAGGTGGCACTGTTAGAGAACAAACTCTTTTTCGTTTAACTTT